AGTGACTTGGGTAATCGGATGGCTCTATTGGAGATGGTGCGATTGGCACAGGACAGAGCAGAGTTTAGGGCTGTTGTACATAGGGTCACTATGAGTCACAAACGACTTAACGGCACATACAACAACAACATAGATAAACATGTGGAAATATTTTCTGTCACATGTATAAGGTGAATTGATGCCTTTGAGCTATGGTGATGGAGGAGAGTATTAACTGTACCAAATGCTAGGAGAACAAACAAGTTTGTCCTGGAGAGCATGAAACCTGGCTGCTCCTTGGAGGCAAGGATTCTGAAGCTCCATCTGACATACTTTGGCCATGTTGTAAAGAGGGACTGTCCTTGGAGAGGGACATCACGGTTGAGAGGGCAGAGAGACGGCACAAGAGAGGAAGATACTGTATGAGATGGATTGACTCGGTGACTAGGGTAATGAGGGTAGGTGTGTCAGAGACAATGAGGTTGGCACAGGATAGAGCAGGGCTCAGAGCTGTTGTACAATGGGTTACAAGTACAAAGTCAACTTGGAAGAAATATGAACAACTCTGGGTAAGGTCAGCTTCTTGGCTGTGCAGACCTCTGCCCTTTGATCCCTGTTTGGGTCTGACAACTGTCTTGCTCAGATCGCTATGAGTTGTGACTAAATGGCACTTAACAACAACAATACATATATCTTCATGGATGTAGTTCTCAGGGACTTCAAATTCTGTTTTTCATGTTCTCCTTTTTCATCAGGATTTTTCTATAAAATATTTGATCAAAACATTCAGTAATGGCAGTCATGTGAAATATCAAGTTCTTCCGGTCCAATGGCAAAGGAAGTAATTAGCTATACATTTCATGTCTTCCTTACATTCCTGACACCCTTTTGATATCTTGAATAGCTGCTTGAACAATATTTTTTCTCTCCCCCGTGGTGGACCCTGAGGTGACCTCAATGAATTCTGTGATTCCCAACCATGGCTGTCCTTCATAATCACCTGGGATTCTTAAGAAAAACTAACGCCTATGTTCCACCACTAGAGATTATTTAATTGGCCTAGGAGGCAAGCTGAGCTTTGGGATTTTTAAAAGCTCCCCAGGTGACTCTAATATGTAGTCAAGGTTGAGCCCCATTGCTCCAAAGAAAGCCTGGAGTTTTGTTTAGAAACCCCCTGGCTTATTCAATCCATATGGACAGAGTGATTTTGTTTCTTGCTGAAGTGAGAAGACCTTGAAAGACAGGTAAAATATGGTGGTAAGGAAAACACATTGAGCAAAAGTTAGGAAGTAATCTGAGCTACCTAAGAAGTAGTAAATTATTTTGTTTACAATAGCAGAGATGAAGGGGAAAGGGCCATTTAAGAGCTGGGGGAAAGCTAGGTGATTTTATAGGAAGCGTTGGCGGTCAGATTTAATTCTGTAAAATACTTAATGAGTGATAAAAGTCTTTAAGGAGGCCACACCTCTTTGGTGGTTCAAAGCTGCCAATTGTTCTTTGGAAGGAAGACAGGAAATATCTTTGTATGAAATTTACAGTCTTGGAAACCCAGTGCAAGGCGAGGGTCAGCTATGAGTAAGTTCTGACTCATGGAAATCAGGTAGAAAGAGAGAGATAGGAGAGAGAGAGAGCCTTTAAGGTTTTTTGCAGTGGAGTTATATAAGAAGTCTGTTTAGGAAGGATAATCTGACAGCAGTATTGAAGGGGGGTTGGAGCAAAGAGGTAGGAAGTAGTGAGAACTGTCAGGGAATTGTCGCAATAATCCACAATGAGGTCATTTTTCTGGCAAGAGCTATGAGGTCATTTCTCTGGCAAGAGCTATGGTCTGAATAGAAAGTTACAGATTAAAAAAACTATTGTGGCAATAGAATGGACTGGATTTGTTTAATATACAAAGAATAAAGTGGGAGGGAGAGGTGGTGGCATTGAAAATGGGGCCTTTAGCAAAGGCAGGGAATGAGGCTTTTTTTTTAAATAGTATTTCAGCAGTTTGATTTGCAACATGCTGAGTTTGGAGGACCAGCAGGATTGTCCATGTGGCAGCGTGTTCTGTGGGCACTGCCAGAATGTCTGCATATAAATATATAAATTGGAGAGGCATTTGGTTAGAAATGATGGCTGAGTCTGGAGTGGATTCATTTTTCAAGGGAAAATAGAAGAAATTAAATCCAGAATTAGGGTGGGAAAGGAAAAAGAACAAAACCACAAAGGTTAGAGGAAAGAGGGAAGATCAGAGGTTTGTGTAGATAGGGAGAAGTTTCTAGATTGTACAAATGGGGTTGCTAACCAAAAGGTTGGAGATTTGAGTCCATCCATTTGGAGGCTCCTTGGAAGAAAGAACTGGCAATCTATGTTGTTGTTGTTGTTGTTAACTGCCATCGAGTCGCAGGCGACTCATAGAGACCCTATGAAGGAGAGTCCTCAATGCTTGTGTGGCAATCTATAGTTGTTGTTGTTGTTGTTGTTGTTGTTTGGTGCCGTTGAGTCGTAGACGACTCATAGCGACCCTATGAACGAACAGCCTGAGCGCTGTTCGTACATAAGAGTTTCCAGAGACAAGCCATTTGGGAAGCAGATGCCGCTCCTGTTTCCAGGCGGCAATCTATAGTACTTAAAACCACACACACACACACACACACACACACACACACACACGAAAAAGCCTTATTAAAAACACTATGGGAAAAAATAAGGGAGAAAAAAAGAAAGAAAAACCCTATGGAAGAAAATTCTATGCAAACAGCAACTGAATAATTTGAGTTTTAGTGAATATAACATTTTCCTGAATCCTAGGGAGTGGGGAAACCCAGGTCAAGAGGCAAAAATCAGAAAATTCAGGTAGGCAAGACACTGGGAAAATGTCACTGATTTTGTCTCCTGGTAACCTTTGGTCATTTGAATGAGCAGTTTCCATAAAGTAGGAAGTGGGAACATATTTCAGGGTTAAGTGTAATGGATATGATGGAAAAGACAGAACCAGACATTTCTGATAACAGTACTCCCTTATTTAAGGGAGTGGGGGGAAAGTGAGTAGGTGCTAAGGAAGTGAAAGCTGCAAAAGTGAATTCCATTTTCAAGAAATTCAGTGAGGGTGGCACATTAAACCCAAAACGTCCAAAAGAGACAAGATTTCCTCACTCAACCCCATCTTGCTCCTTTGTTCCCTGTTTTAGTGCATAGCTTCTCTTCTAGACTATAAGGTGCATGAAGTCAAGAGTCACATCTGTGTCTGACCAGCATCCCTGCTGTATCTACATGTGGTTTACACATATCCCAGGCCAGCTCTTTAGGACCCTGCCCTACCAGTGTACAACCCAGGCAACAAAATCCACTGCTTCTGCCCAACACCCTCACCCTCAAGCCTCCTGGTTATCCCCAAGTGTTGCTGTTGTTGTTAGGTTCTGTCAAGTTGACACAACAGAATGAAATCCTTTCCTGTTTTGCCCTGTCCTTGGTCTCTGCTGCGCTTAAGATGGTTGTTGCAGTTATTTAGCCTGTCCACATTCTTGAAAGTCCTCCCATCTTTCAATAACACTCTACTTTTCCAAACATGATGTCGTTTTCTAGGCACTGCTCCCTCCTGATAACATGAGACAGTTTCATCATCCTTGCTTCTAGGAAAAAGCAACTAGAAAAAGCAGCTGTATTTCTAAGTCTAATCTCCTCTCCTCTGCCCCCTTTTCCTTTTCTTTATCACCTACACTATCAAACACCACATAGATTTCCAGTACCAGAAAACTGAGGAGCAAGCATTTTCCCCCTCCCCTTGCTCCCTGACCACCACCACCCACCTTAGGCCTGGAGTTGTAGGTACAAACCTCTGGGTCTTCTTGTAAACTCCTCTTTCTCCAAAACCCTAAATTCTCTCTGGTAAGGTGTGAGAAGACAGCACTGGGGAAAGAGCCTGCTGAGAATAGACCCCAAGGTCTTCCTAGGTAGGCTCCTGGAAACCCCTCTGTTTTTCCCTTTTTGTGTATCTGTCTCTCTGGCAGCCTTTGCAAATGTCTCCTCGCACCTTTTCTCTTTGTTAGTTTTCTCATTTTTCCTAGAAGGGGTGATAAAGGAAGGTGAAAGGAGGAGCCAAAAGAAGGCTAGTCTTTGCAGGGGGTCGCAATCTTCCGGATTGCGGGTGATAAATCCACGTGGTCTCTTTAATAATGTCTTTCAGGAGTTCACACACGAACACATAGACCACAACAAGGCAAGGACCTCCAGGGATGCAGGATGTGGGTAGAGGAATGGTTCCCTCCCAGTTTTGGGGGTCCCTTCTGCGGGGCCGCCCTTGGCCTGAAGGGCAGGTAGGCAGGAGAAAGTATTTACAGGGAACAAGGACGTGTTTCTCATCCCATAGCGGAGGATTCTAAATAGGAAACCTCCCAAATTTCACTCCAAAAACAAAAGTAGAGGTTCTGGGATTAGCAAAATAGTCAACACTAGGGTGAGAGAATGGAAAGATTGTACTAGCAAAGAAAGGTGCGCGCACGCGCACAAGGCTTACCTACCCATGCTGGGTCCGCATTGGGAGGAAAAAAACCTGTCTTACTCGGGGGCGGGACCTGGTGGCGGGGTACAAACGCAATCACCGGACTGAATCAACCCGCGGGGGAGAAGGCGGAGCCTGCCGGCCAGGAGGCGGGGTTTGACATGACTGGGGCGGAGTCTATAAAGGAGGTGGGGCTTCTGGAATGAGGCTCCAGGCTGCGGAGCAGAGGCCAAGGGGGCTTGGCTGGGGGCGCTACAGGTAGAGCAGGTGGAGATATGAAGGGATTGAGGACCTGGTGTTTGGCGAGGATCCAGCGAAGCGGCGTCCCTGTGGGTGTGGGCTTTGGGAAAGTTCCTGAGGAACTGGATTCGGAGCATACTCGCAAGGTGAGAGGTTCTGTGGAGGCCGCGTTTAGGATGCATCCGCATCTGGCGACTCCAGAGGCGGGTATGCAGGTTACTCAGTGGGCCCAAGGCGTGACTGCAGTACGCCCTAGGGAGGTCGAGGGACACACGGTGGGGTGGGATTGGAGACGTCCCTATGGATCCCAGTAGTTCTCGTGGTGTTGCGCAGCGATGATTATGACCACGGTGAGGATGGTACAGAGCACCATGGCTGCGATGCCCACCGCCAGAGAGATGAAGGAGAAGTTCCGGGCCTCGCGTGATGCGATCTCCGCCGACACCATGTCTCCGCGGGCCAAGGCTGTGCGCACCTGCGGAGGAGGGGTGGGGAAGATGATCAGAGGGCTGCAGCCTGCCACCCAGTCTCCCTTTAAGCTCTCCTTAGAATGCTCAGCACTCCCTCGGAATAAAAAACACTGCATGAACACACCTCCACGTACCCCGGCCCCTCCACACACGCACCTGCACTGCCTTGAAGATGGCGATGATGCCCGTAGGCCAGAAGCAGCAGATGGTGGTCAGCACCGCAATGGGCATGTAGTCGTGCGGCGGGCGTCTTGGCTCCAGCAGGGCCAGTCCTGGACCCTGGGGCGGCGAGGGAAGCGTGGAGGTCACCCCCGCTCCCCCCGGGGCCCCGCCCGCGTAGGGCTGTGGAAGGAAGATTGGGGGAAGGGGTGTCACTCTTACCCTCTCCATCCCGCTAGTGGTCTCAGCTAGCTGAGGGAATTTTGCCCAGAGCTCATAAAATAATATTTGCCTATGATCCTTCCAGGACCCCCTTAAACTTCTTCTCGGTTTCTTCTTTTCATTTCCCCTATAACCCTAATAATTTTAAGCCCCTCTCCAAGAGATAACCTCAGCCCCTGCTCCTCATCTAGGTAGTCTCTCCCCACAACTTCAGCCCTATTCCTAAAGCCACACCCTCTACCCCTTCACTTTATTTCTACTCTTCAGCCACACCTACCTGGTGCCTTACACCCCGTGGTCCCCAGGTTCCATTTATTCCTCTTCTTTCAGACTCTTTCCTTTATTCAGACCAACTCTGGACCTCCAGATGTCTCCCCCTCTCAGAGTCTGACCTTTGACCCCAGCAGGCTAGATGTCCCCATGCAGATGATTCTTAGAGATCTTTACTCAACCTCCAGGCCTCCAACTTTAATTGGTTCCCAGGTTCCACCCCCTCCCCTTAATGAGGCTCTCTAGGCCTCGACCCTGACCCCGGACTCTTCCGGGACCCTGGGTCGTGTTTCCACCCCTCCAGCCCGTGTATTCACAAATCCAGGTCATCAATGGTGCCCTTCTCCTCCCAGGTCCCTGTCTGCCCAGCACTCACCGTGCCCACAGGGTAGACCGGCACGTAGGCTGTGCAGGGCTGTAGCTGTAGTGGGTAGCCTGGGGCCACGTAGCCCCCCAGCGGCAGCGTGCCCACCGCCCCCGTGTGCGTGGGCACCACGAAGCCGGGGGTCTGGGCTGTCTGGGAAGGCGCCGGCGGGGGCGGCGCGGCTGCCGCGGGCGGGGGCGGGGGCAGTGGGCCCTCGAAGCGAGTCTCCTGCAGGTAAGGGTCGGGTGGCATGCGGGGCAAGGTGGCACAGCCGGGTGGGGGCGCCCCGGCGGCCGGACCTGGTGGGGCATGGTGCGGGGGCCGCGGGAGAGTGGCGGAGGACGAGGGGCCGCGCTGAGCGCTGGCGCTGGAAGAGGCCAGGCCGCCGGCCCCTAAGCGCGGAAGGGTGGCAGTGCCGGACTGATGATAGTGGTGGTGATGGTGATGGTGCGAGGAAGGGGCAGCCTGTGGAGGCGGGGCCGGGGGTTCGGCTGGGGGCTGGGGGGCATTGTAGGGGGGAGGGGAAGTGTGAGGGACTGAGTCTGGAAGGCCTGCGGCGCATGAACGAGGGTAAGGGGCAAAGACCGACAGAGTTAAGGAGGGACACGGGGAAACAGACGGTCAGAGACAGAAAGAAAATGGAAGAGACAGGCATGTGAGGCACAATCTCTCATTCTTGGGTCAGGAGAGGGGTTATATCTAGGCCATCTGGCCCCCCTTCTTCCTTACAATCTAGTTTTGAGGTCACAACTCTCTCTGCTCCTCTCCTCCTTCAGCAACTTACATCTAGCTCGTAACAGCAATCTCCTGTCCTCGTTGCACTCGAGGTTGGCCTCTCTCAGTCCTGCGTGTGCATGTGTTGATATGCACACAGTGTTAACATGCGCTCAATTCAACAGTTGTATAAACACATGTGAGATAGCATGTTCTATTCTGCTGCTCCATCACTGGGGAGGGGTTGCCCCAACCTTTCTGGGAATCTGAACACTCCTTTAAGGTGGATAAAACAGGGTTCTTTGGATTTTACTTTCCTGCCAACCCCCATCTGATCCTGTCTCCATTTTGCCCCACCGGATTTCTTCAGGCGAGCCCACGACTGCCCATCTGTCATTCCCAATGATGCTATCCCTGCAGTACCTGGATGAAACTGAGGCACTCTTATGCCTCCCTCACCCTCTAAAACTGTCCCCCTCCCCGTGTGGTTGGCAAAGGGCAGAGGCAGAGACTGGAAGGAGGAAAGGAAGAGAAGGGAGGGGGAATAGAGAGAGGAGGGCGATTATGAGGATTGAGGCTGGAAAGGAGGACGAAACAAAATCGCTGTCGTGGGGTAGGGGGCTATTGGGGAAGGTTCTGGGGTCCAGGAGGGGTGGAGAGTCAAGAAACGGTGGAAAGAGCAGGATACAGTTTTGTTTTTGTGGTAGGTGGTGGTTTTTACCTGACTTTTCGGATGACATGCCTGCCTTCTCCCTGGGACAGGGTCCCTGAAGCCGGAATCGGGGTCTCTAACCAGCGCTCGAATCTGGGTGCGCGGATGGCGCAGCCCGGAGAGCAGCGCAGAGATGGAGCGATGGAGACAGCGGCGGCAGGGGGTGGGGGGTGGGGGGGAGCAGGGAGAGAGCGGGGAGGGGGGAACTTAAAGGGACCGAGGCGTGGAAGGGGGAGAGCTTCAGACGTCTTCCCACTTCGTCTCTCTCGGCTCTAGACCACCTCTTTCCTCCCCTCACCCTGTTATTCAAGCCCTCAGTTTGGGCTCCCTTTAAGTTGTCATGGAAACAAGGAGGCCAGACCCAGCGAGGAGGGTGGAACTAACCAAAGGGGGGAGGGAGAGAGAACTCTCTAGAGTCTGCCCTCCCTTCAAGACCCGCTGTAGTGATTATATTGTGGGAGGAAGCCAGCAGGTGCTCAATGAATTGGACAACCCAGTTCTCTCGGGACCTGCTTCACACCAGTCAGATGCCCACTCAGCTTCTCAGGGCTCCCAGAAGGGTCCTAGAATTTTCTCCCAAACCCTGGCCATGGTTACCCCTTCTTACCGGAGATAACAGGATGAGGTTTGTGAACTGTGTGCAGTGATGAGACCTACCCCTACGATGGTCTGAAAAGTTTTCGGGGTTATAGCTCTAACCTGTCTGTCACCTGGGCCTGAGTGGCTGGGTACAGTGGTCTGTAATTTGGTGGTAGCCGGGTCTTCTGGGGATGGGAGAATGGCTTGAGGATGTATCGATACCTTTTTCTTCTAGGACTAAAAAACCGGAAGTTCGTTTTTGACAGTTCTGTTTGGGAATATGCGCTTCCTCCTTTTGCTTCTCAGCTGCTTACAGTCCCAGAGCACCGGCTGTATTCAGATCCTTTCCCTAAATCACCCCCACCTACACCCACCCCCGTAGAGATGCAGCTACTTCCTTGAGCAGACTTAGGGTGCAGAGTTATTGCAGTCTTTTTATTTGCTTATTGCATCTTGGAAACGCGTAGGTGGTGTACTGAGACTTACACAAGTTGAGCTTTTTGTGAAAACACAGTTAAAGAATAATTATTACCCTCCCCTCTAAATTAGTACTTCCCAGCCCCTGTTAGAGGCAGTCTCCAGGTCTAAGCCCCCTCTGGGCCATTTATCAAAGTAATCAGGAGGCACTGCTGAGCTCTTCTGGCATGGACCAATCCTGAGATTTAAAACATTTCCCTTTACAGGACCTTCGCTTGAACACTTAATCCTTGTCCTGACCCCGTCACACTCTACAATTTAGGGAGAAAACTGGTTTTATTGAGACTTTTAGATTGAGGGAAGACCTCATGATCAGAGGCACACACAAGTTGGGAAATCTTCCCCCTCCAAAATCCACTACACTGGCAGAGAGGTAGGATGGGGAAAGTGTGGTGGGTGTATTTAGCGTTTAGAGATAATGTCCCTACCTCCAGAAATGTCTTTAAAAGTTAAGTAAAAACCCTTACCCAGGCGCTGAGGTGTCAAGGGACGCTGGAAACGCTTGAGTGGGAGGGCCTTGGTTGGAAAGAGCCTTACAGGCAGTTCCTCAAAAAGCCACATTAGTGAGGGTGCAAGGGTTGAAAGAGTTAGTTGAAAGGATTACGGGGTGAGTCAGTAAGGCCTCAGGGCAGGAGCTGTGGGCCGGGCCACACTTAGCTCAAGGGGCCTCTAGGACACTCCACGTCTCTGTAGACAAGGGCCCTACACGTACTCCAGAATGAAGAGTTGTAAGACGATCACCGCAGCAACTGGATAGTGGGGCAGACAGGTGGAGGGACACGCTTTTGCCCTGGTGGGTTTTAGCCTTCCAGGACAATAACCGCTTCTCACCTGATGTTGGATAAAATGCAGACAAAATTCAGTCTCTAGTTCATCCTCCCACCCACTCTGTCTCCCCTTCCCTAACCGCCACCCCCGCCCCCGACTTGAAGGAGAACTTAGTGTTCTGCCTTTCAAAAAGCCTGACGCCTTGGTTGGGAAGTAGGGGAGAAATCAAGATAGGAAAATCAGACCCTTCGGTCGCTTAAGTGCAACCAAGCACCAAAAGGCCGCCTGTCAATTTGCAGGATAGACTTACAGCTACTGCTTCTCCCCACTAGCCTAAATGGAACGCTCCACCTATTTCCTCCCCCGCTCCCAGAGCGTAATAGAACCTTCCAGTGCCCCTCCGGTCCCCGGCCTGCGTTGCTGGGGACGCTTACACAGTTGCCAGGGAAAGCCCCGGACGTGACGGCGGTGCGCGACCCCGAGCAGCCTCCCTCACTACTCCCCCACGTCCGTCATTCCCGTGCGCGCTCCCTTCTCACACCCTTCCCCTCCCCCTTGGGTGCCAGACTAGGGAGAAGTAAACAGCGGGCTGAGCGAGGCCTGCGGACCCAGGCCAGGTGGGAGTTTGCACTCTCCAGGGGGCCTGAGCTGCTGCTCAGAGGTCTTGCAAAATCTCGAGTTGTGCATAATGCATTAGGAAGATCCTGGGCCTAGGGACTTGGTGCCCCAACGCTGAGTTGGAGGCGGGGCTTCAGGAGCGCTTTGGTGCGTCTACGTGGTAGGGGTGTGTGTGTAAGAGGGAGGGAGGGGAGGACCCGAGTAGGTTAAAAGTAGGTTATTCTACAAGGTCCGGTGAGAGCGGGGGTGGGTGCCTTGGTTGCCAGGCGTCTGTTCTGAAGGGAGGAGGCGTTGCCATTTCCTTCACAGGCCTTCATCATTCCCATTCTTAGGCAGGAGCATGCTGGGGCTCTGGGGGCCACGTCTCCCCCCTGCGGGAGTCCTGTTCTTGTTGCCGCTCCTGCCACTGCTACTACTGCCAGCGACCCCAGCGCCCCACCGCGCCACCTACAAGCCGGTCATCGTGGTGCACGGGCTCTTTGACAGCTCTTACAGCTTCCGCCACCTGCTGGACTACATCAACCAGGTCTGGCTGGGGATGTCCCAGTTGAGGGCATGGGAGGAGTGTAAAATGAAAAGGAGGGAAAAAAGGAACTAAAATTGACCCTCTCCATCCTATCCAGTTCTTCTTGTACTAGTGATGGAGTGGGGAGAGGTGGGGTTATGATCCTGCTTCTGGGAGGACACTGGCCAAACGCTAGCTGGGGACCGATGTGGGAGGATCTTCATAGTTCTTCCCAGTGACTGGATTGCCTTCTCCCCACAGACACACCCCGGGACTGTGGTGACAGTGCTTGATCTCTTCGATGGGAGAGAGAGCTTGCGTCCCCTGTGGGAACAGGTACAAGGATTCCGAGAAGCTGTGGCCCCCATAATGGCGAAGGCCCCTGAAGGAGTACATCTCATCTGCTACTCTCAGGGTAGGAGGCCCCATTCAACTCCTGAACCCCATCTGAAGCTTGATCCACACCTGAGGGATACTTCCTAGTGTCCATTTTTTAAAAACCACTTGACATCTGAGTCCTTTCTAACTTCCCTCACACCTGGTTCAACACTGTATGTTTTGACTGGAAAGAAGGCTCCTTGATATGCTGCCTACTTCTTTCCCTGTTTCTTAGGGTTCTTGATACCCTTTCTTTGACTTAAAGGATAACTCAGCAGTTATGAGCACTCTGGAGTTAGTAAGGAGGCTCAGATTCTGATTCTAGCTCTGCCACTATACATACATGCCCTTTGGCATGAACTGTGCCTGCCTCTATCTCCTTTGTGTCATTACTGTTGTAAAGGGAAGGGAGAAGGGGACTTATTAACCTGGCTGTCCCTAAGTCCTTGCCCACTGTGGTGTTCTGCCTGTAGGAGGTCTTGTGTGCCGGGCACTGCTCTCTGTCATGGATGATCACAATGTGGATTCTTTCATTTCCCTCTCCTCTCCACAGATGGGACAGTATGGAGGTAAGTGGGCACTGGGCTCCATAGATGCCCCCCCAGGTGTGTGTGGCACAGATCTTTGGAGCTACTTAACACTGCCATTCTCTTGCCAGATACAGACTATTTGAAGTGGCTATTTCCTACCTCCATGAGGTCGAACCTTTATCGGATCTGCTATAGCCCCTGGGGCCAGGAATTCTCTATTTGCAACTATTGGCACGGTGAGTGGGGATGCTGAAATGAGGTCTCCTTGGGAGAAGGCACCTTGGTAAGCCCTGCTACCCTTATCTCCCCCATACCAATTGCATTGATAACAATGATGATAACATGTATGTATCTGCTGAGAATTTACTGTGTGTCAGCGACTGTTCAAAATGCTTTCTGTATATTATTTCTCAGAAAGTATAGTGCAGTGGTCAGCAAATCTTTTCTGTAAGGGGTCCTATAGTAAATACTTTTGGCTTTGCAAGCCATACCACCTCTTTTGTAAGCTCTGCTGTTGTGGTGTGAAAGCAGCCTTAGATAATATGTAAATGGATGAGCATAACTGTTCCAATAAAACTTTATTTTTAAAAACCAGCAGGCTGCATTTGTCCCACGCATCATAGTTTGCCAATCCTCTAGTGTAATGTTTAAGACCCTTGATAATGGGTCTTGACTATGTGAATTTGAATCATGATTTTGCTGGATGACTTGGAACAAGTTACTCAGTTTTCCACATCTGTAATATAATAATATAGCACCTACCTCATAAAGTTATTGTGAAAAGTGAACAAACTAATGAGTGCAATGTACTTGGAACAGTTCTTGGCACGCAGTATGCACCAGGTTAAAGTGTTTTCTGAAATGTTTACTGACATTATGGCAAATTTTCTTATTGGTCATTTAGCCTTCATTCTTCTTTATCTAACTGCTCTTTGTACCCAGATCCTCACCATGATGACTTGTACCTCAATGCCAGCAGCTTCCTGGCACTGATCAATGGAGAAAGAGACCATCCCAATGCCACTGGTAAGACCCTATAACCACTTCCCCTAGTCCTCTTTTCTGCCTCTTTTAACCCTTTGTATCCCCTTCCTGAGCCTGGCCTGGCCTGACCTCTGTGGCTTAACCATTCTTTCTTCTCACCCTGCAGCATGGCGGAAGAACTTTCTCCGTGTGGGACATCTGGTGCTGATTGGGGGTCCTGATGATGGTGTTATTACCCCTTGGCAGTCCAGGTAATAAGGCGCCGATGTTCTTAAGGTTGGCTGAGATGTCTGCCTTTTTCTTTAGTTAAGCTTTGAGCTTGAATTGTTTTTGTCCAAATGTCGGCTATGTAATTGACCCTTGAAAAACACAGGTTTGAACTGCCTGGGACCACTTATACTCTATTTGTTTTTCCTGTTGCTGCTGCAGAAAGCTCAAGTATCGGTTTAAAACGTTATGTGATGACAGTCATCACAGCAGAGCTGTGCACACAGACATCTTAGTTTCACATACTGACAACCTTTACATTATCTACAACAGTAACAGGAAAAAATGCAGATGTAAATCCATGCTCTTCAAGGGTCCACTCTACATTGCTGTTCAGAGGCAACATCTAATCAATGCTTAAAACTGTCACTGTTCATTCATAAGCTTCTATCCATAATTCAAGACAAAAAGCTAAGAGTTGCCCTCTGGCCCATTGTCTAGTATTACTAAGTCTTACTTCCTTAGTCCTAGTTACTAATCCTAAGTGATTCTACTTCTTCTCCATTCCTCTACCTCCTCTTTATGAAAACTATATTTTGAAATAATTAAGATTCATGGGAAGTTGCAAAAACAGTACAGAGAGACCCTGTGTATATTTTATCCAATTTCCCCATGACTACATCTTTTGTAACCATAGCAGAGTGTTAAAACCAGGAAATTTACATTGGCCTAGTGTGGGTATATAGGTCCATGGTACTTTATCACATTTCTTACGAACACTTTTTAGTTCATGGACCACTTTGACAACCTCCAACTGGCCCCTTACCTCCAGCCTGGCTTTCTCCATCCTATTCCTCAGGAAAATCATGAAGACTCTGGATGAGATGGATTGATACAGTGACTGAGGCAATGGATGTTGGTGTGTCAGAATCAGCGAGACTGGCTCAGGACAGGGAAGGATTCAGAGCTGCTGTATAGGGTCACTATGGGTCACAGGCAACTCGACAGCACTTAACAATAACAAGTACGTTAAGTATTTGCTTGCCTTTGTTACAGACCATCACGAATGATCTGAAGTGTCATCTGCTCTACTTTAGTCACTCAACAAATATTTATTGAGCACTATTATGCTTCCCTGGGTGGTGCAAGTCACATATGGAATGGCACCAAGGAAGAAAGGCCTACAGATCTGCTTCTGCAAAAATTAGAGCCAAGAAAACGCTGTGGATTATCTGCTTCATAACACATGTGGTCACAAGTCAGAACTTAATCAGTGCTGTTGGGTTAGGTTTTAATTTACTGCGTACCCAGACACTATTCTGGACCTTGAGATGTTCTCGTTAGGTGTCATCAATTTGATTGTAACTTAAAGTGGCCTTATGAACAACAGATGTGAACCTCGTCCTGTCTTCTGACTACCTCACCATCTTTGATACATTCAAGTCCATTGTTTCAGTCACTGCGTCAATCTTGATGGTCTCCTCTCTTTCCCTGACGTCTTTCCCAGCATGATGTCTTTTTCCGAGCACTGGCTCCTTCTGACAAAATGCCCAAAGCATGTGAGGCAAAGGTTCACTATTCTTACCTCTAATGGAGCACTCTGGGCTGCAATTCTTCCAAGACAGATATATTTGTTCTTTGACAGTCTGTGATATATACTCAGTGCTCTTCTCAAACTTCAACTCTAAGGCATAGATTTTTTTCCCCCCTTCCAACTCATTGTCCAATTTTCGGATGTGCAGGAAGGAATAGAAAATACCATGGTTTGTATCAGGTATGCTTCAGTCCTCAAACTGACATGCTTGCTTTTTAGCACTTCAAAGAGATCCTTGATGACAGCTTTTCCCAGTGCAGCATGTCTTGATTTCTTGACTGCTGCTACCATGGGTGTTGATTGTGATTTCAGGTAAAGTGAAATCTTTGACAACTTCAGTGCTTTCTCAATCTGTCATGATATTGTTTTCTTGGCAGTTGATGGGTTATTTAGTAGTCTTCTCCAGCACCATAACTCAAAGGCACCAATTCTTCTGTCATTTTTATTCACTGACTCTCAGATGTATAGCAAGTAATTGAAAAGACTGTGGCTGAGATCAGGCACACTTTTGTCTTTAAACTAACATCCTTGACTGTAAACTTTCCCAGTGTAACATGACTTTTCATTTCTTGTTAGTACAATGGTGTTGATTGTGGATCCAAGTAAGATGAAGTCATTGACAATTTCTATCTTTACTCCATCAGTCATGATGTTGCCTATTGATCCAATGGTGAGGATTTTTGCTTCTATAATATTGAGATATAATCCATACCAAAGGCTCTGCTCTTCTACAGCAAGGGTTTCAAATATGGCCTGAGGAGGATGCAGCCAAGTGGTGCGCAGAGGGAAGGATGGTGAAACGTCATCTTACATGCTTGGAGCATTGTAAAAGGAGCAAGGCCCTTGGTGGATATGGCAGTATCTAATATCTGCTAACTTCACAAGTCTCCATCATCATCATCCACAGCACAAAACCAATTCCCATGAAGTTAAACATATCCCCACGCTCCTGCACCTCTTTCCACTAATTTCAACACTAATCTTACTGCTCTTCTGGGTCCAAAATCCATGGTGATAGCTCACGATTAGAGGTTTATTAGGGAAGTTAACAGGATATAATTTCATTTGGTAACAGGATACAGTCTCTCAGTCAGGACAGCCTCTGAACCAAGGGCTCAAAAGCCCCTCAGGCTTCAACCTCATGACTCTTGCCCAGTGTTAACAAATTCTTGGTACTGCTAATTATGGCTCTTCACCCCCAGTGCTCCAACAAATTTGGATGAAGGCTCTGGTTCCGTGGAGTAGCAGTCCCAAGGTCAGCTCTGTTTTGTGTCAGGTCTCTGGTTCTCTGCTGTGGGTGCTGCTGCTTTCCTGTGGATCTGGCTGACAAAACAATCTCTGGCCTTAAAGGGCATGTTGCATTCTCTGCTTCTTTGCTGGTGGTGAGATTCTCAAATTCTGTTTCTGAATCTGCTCAATTTAATGGCAAGACTTATCAGTCTCCTTGTGGTTAGATTAACATGCCCTATTTGCATATTCCCAACCATCTACTAGTCAAAGTTAATGTTAGGAAAGCTACTTTGAACAATAAACCCTTAACATCTCAGGCAACTTGTTAGGAGGAAGTTAGTCCTTGGAAAAAGACTTCATGCACAGAAAGTGGAAGATCAACAAAAAAGGATATGACCCTTAATGCAACTTAATGCAATGGATTAACACAGTGACTGTTAACAGTGGGCTCACGTGTCGCAGAGACAATGAAGATGGCACAGGCAAGGTCTAGATCTGTCATTCATAGGGTCACCATGAGTTATCATCAACTCAATAGTACTTAACAACATCATGGTGTTGTGTATTAGACCAGTGATGATGACTTTAGTTTTCTCGTTGAATATAACCCATCTTTGTCATCTTTGTATCATTCTGATTTTTTAAAATTTATTTTAATGAAAGTTTATGGAGACTTTGGATTTCCATTCATTCCTTGTTGCCCATGCCTCCCCCCACTTTGCTTTTTGTTTTGAAAAGTTAAAAAAAACCCAAACAACAATCTTTCATTGTTATACAACCCCCCCGCCCCCAGTCCACTCCACTATGTAACTTTCATTCTGGACTCTTGTCATGACAATAATACCTAATCATATATTCCTCCTAAATAGTTCTCTCCCTCATCTGTTTCAATGCAGTGTACATTATTTATCCCCTCTTAGTTTCCCCCCAACTCCAACGTCATACCCACTTTTACAACAGTGGCAATATGCAATATTTGTCCTTTTGTGACTGAAATATTTCACTCAGCATAATGTCCTCCTGGGTCACCCATTTTTTTTTTCTTCTTAAGCTTTCTTTATTTATTTTTTTTTAATTCAGAAGATTTTATTTTTATGTAGTCCATTTATCAATATTCTTTTTTTTAAATTTAGTTTATTTTTCATTTCAATGAACATCTACAGAGATTTTGGAATTCCATTCATTCATTGCTGCACCTTTCTCCCCGCACAATTTTTTTTTAATAATTTTAATGAGCATTTACAGAGATTTTGGATTTCCATTCATTCATTGCTGGGGTCACCCATTTTGTATAATATTTCATGAGTTCTTTGTTTTTCAGTACAGTGTAGTATGAATATACCAGAGCTTCTCTAGCCATTCATTTGTTGATGGGCAGTTGGATGTTTTCTAGCTTTTTGCTATTGTGAACAGAGCCGCAGTAAACGTGGGTGTGCATATATCTGCTTGGGTGATGAGCCAAAGTTTTTTCACCCAGGTTGAGCTTGCGACTGACTACTGGTTGTTCAATATGTGGCCAAGCTTTGTGGTACAGAGGGATTGGACCTTTTCTGTTGACGAAAGCATAATACAAATGTTGCAGATTTTGATGCCTTTTACTGCAATACTTCTGTGCAGTAATGGTTTCACCCAGATTCAAGAAGTGTTAGTGGATTAATCTGACTGCAGACCACTATTTGTTTTGGGTGTAAGCTTGATGTGGTGCAATGTTTTCAGAGCTTCACCTGGCTCTAACCACTAGATACACAGTTGTCACAGAAGATTTATTTTTTTAATTACATATTACAATATGATCAAGAAATGGATCTTTTTATTGTGAAAAAGGAGTGCAGAACAGATATCAAAGTGGTGGTTGCTTTGATTTTGTTCAATTTGTGTGGTACACATTTGGAGAGCTGCTTCAATTTTCCGACTGACCACAGCATGATTGACTTGGGAGTTCTGCAACTTCTCTTGTAGTTTTGTGGGGACTAGCGCCCTCAGCTGGTCATTGGTGATAAAACCTTTGAATTTGGATTTACCGCCTTGGAAGATTTGCAACTAATGTTCTAAATGTACTAAAGAGTACTCTGGACTCTTTAACACTTCCCTCACCCCTGTCCACTGATATTTTGACCTGTTTATGCTCCTGCCACGTTTGAATTCAGAAAAGTAAATGTGGCAAAAATTTTCTTTTGACATTGTATGTTCTACATACTAAAAATACACAAAAATGCAATT